TGACTCTGCAGATGCAGAACCTGTAGCCACAGCGGGCCAACTGTATGCATTTCTGAGCTTAATGATTCTTAGATCCCTAGCATCTGCACAGCAAATGGTATCACCAGTTAATATCTTTCTTCTCACACCACCCTTGCCCTGCCATATTTGGGGGACGCCAGGGTAAGTTCTATTGTTCGTATGGCCATAGATCACAAATGTACCTTCTAATGCTTTGAGCACGATCTACCTTCAAACAAAATCAGACCCTTGTAAAATGATGACAGCGCTCACCAAGCCAAACGGTTTAAAATAAACTGATCCACACAGCAGAACGCAGTATCAAAGGGCTTTAAAAAGAGAGAGAAAATAAAAGTACACGGTGCGGCTCATTGGAACATTTCATCCCAACATAAATTTAAAGAGCAGACAAGAAAATGTGTCAAAAACATGGCATGTTTGGGTGAAATCAAAGTCTGTTTTATAATATATGGTTAGTCTCCTTTCCCTTTATTCTCTGAAATGCTTAAAAATCAAAGAAGCCAGACGTATGTCTCATTAAAAAAAAAAAAAAAAAAAAGCTGCCGCTACTCTTGCACTTAGGTTGTAACTGAAGCAGATAAAGTGAATTCACAAGGCACTCTGCAGTATGAGTGTACACTATTTATTTGCCTGTAAAGTGTCGGTTGCTTATCTATAGGCTATGATTACATAAAACAAATGTCCCAGGATTAGCTTCCCTCTTTTCCTCTATGCTTCACTGGGAGCTAAGCCACTTCCTCCTCCCAGACATTTTTCATGGAATGGCACTGGCATGCCCTGCATTGTCTTCAAAGGGTTTGGAAGAAAGTGATCACATCAGAGTACAGTCAACAAAGCCAGACTTTTCCCATCAGGGTTTCATCGAAGCTAAACTGCGCAGCTGAAGAATCAGGCCCATTTAGGTGTTCCATTTTTCTTGGTATGCTAGACACTTATCAAATCTAGTTTCCTGGTCACTTTTGCTATTGACATTTTGTTATCAGAAGATGCTATGAAGGAAAATGCCACAAGCAACTAGGATGGCTGCTGAAATGACTTGGTTTCACTAGAAATATTTATCTTTCCAACTTCTAAGTCACATCCATTAATCGGGAACTGCCCATTTCTAAACCAAGACCTTTTGATAGCCTAGGACAAGTAAATAAAACTCTAACGACCTGGGTGTTAAGATTTCAGTCTGGTGGTGAAGCTGAGAAACATTAAGATCCTGAATTCTGAGGACGCAATTAGTTGAAACTTAATGAGCTGCAGAATGATAAGTGACAGGGAAATGTAACTTTATAGTTACAATTTCCTGACTAGATGAACTTTTAAACGCTGCAAACTAAGCCCTGCCCCAGGGCAATTTAGCCTTTCAAAGCCTAACAACGTGGAAGTTAAAAACTGGCATTTGGAGACGGTGCCTCCCAAAATCGCAGTGGTCTTCCAGAGAACTCAGCAACAGAGACAGCCTCAAATTCAAGGGCAGTGTTTGCTTTGAATCCAAAAGGCCTTTATGTATAGAGCTGTGGCTCCTGTTTGTTAAAATGAAGGTTTCGCACAGGAAATGCAACACACACAAACTCACACACGCCCCCCCCACACACACATTCTCATGTCTTTGAAAATACAGCCCTTATATTTTTAGAAAGACAAGAACTATAAGCAGACAAAGAGGTTAAAAACGTATTCTGAATCCTTAGCAAGAACCTCTGCAAGGACAATGTAACTTCTGTATCAGAAAGTACTGAAGGCCAGAGACCTCTGCGAAGAGCCGGGTTTTCAAAGCCAGCAGCTCTAATGGGGTATGAGTTGCATTCCTTAGATTTTAGAGATGCCCTATCCATCCCCTGCAGCATTTTATCAGTGTTAAAATTGGGACACGCCTTACAATCAGTGTATGAGTGTCTTTGTCTTTGTTTTTTAAAAAAACGCTGCTTGAAAGAGGAAGGAATATAATACACATAATCAATGTAATTAGTGTGGCGAACTACTTGCACTTACTAAAATTAAATATGAGTTTATTATAAAGACAGCTTATGGTGTAAATAACAGACCACCTATCTTTCTATTACTTTGTCCTTTTTTCTCTCCCTCCATTCCACCTTTCCTCCTTCCCTCTCCTTCTCCCTCTCTCCATCTTATGCTTCCTTTCTTTCCTCCCAGTTCATTGCATACTACTATGTGCTAATTGCTATGCTAGGCACTACTATGTGCTATTGACATTTTGTTCCTAACATAGACACAACTAAATCAGAACTTTGGTGACGTGGGCCATGATCAGGTATCATTTTCAGGCTCTCCAGGTGCTTCTAATGCAAAGGAACCAAAGCCCAGCACCAAACCTAGGACATGTGGAGGGAGGGGCTAAATGGGTTGCATGCTGGTAATGAATTCTAGCACACAACAGAGGCAAATATACACTGCCTACAGGTGTTTGACTCTCCGATTTTTTGTGGCTAAATTCAACAAAAATGTAAGTTCATAATCAAAAATCACCTAACACACAAGTAAACAGGCCTGTTTTTTTGGTCTACTTGTCTATTCTCTAGCCAATGCTATACTGTTCTGATTACTGTAGCTTTATAGTATGTCTTCACAAGTCAAGTAGTATCATGTCTCTGACTTGTTCTTCTCTTTCAATATCGAGTTGGCTATTCCTAGTCTTTTGCCTCTCCAAATAAACTTTAAAGTTATTTTGTCAATATCCATAAAAGTAACTTGCTACAATTTTAATTGGAATTACACTGGATGCATCGAACAAGCTGTGAAGAATAGGAGTTACCCGGACGAATCCTAAAAATCCTGATAATATTGTGACCTGACTGAATCATGAAGCATTCCAATAACCCAACAGATTATTTCTCACTCTAGTTATTTTGGAAATTGCTAATATGATATTTCAATTTATCGCCCAATCATCTGAAATTACGGAGTAGAAAGTGAGTTTGAGTACACACCTCTTACAGGTCATTACAAGAAAATGATTGTGTTTCCATGTAGTCAACCCAGAAACAGATGTACTGTAGGAGTCCTATTAGCTCCCACAAATTGATGAGGGTCTTCCTCTACCCACCAGGGATACTCCACATTGGCTAAAATGAATCCAGTCCTGGAAAAAGACCTCCAGGTTCCTACGAATAGAAACACGTGCACGGTTTTCTGTGACAAACTAGCCCTGAGTCTTAGGTAAATATCACTTTGAGGGTGCTACTGTTTTAAGCCAACCTAAGTTGTTCAGACTCCATTGTATATGCGTTAAGTTTCACCACCGTTACAGACAAGCCCAAGCTAATTGCTGCCCTGCGGGCTCTGCCCGCCGAGGAAGCGATTTCATAGCAGCCACTTTGCGACGTGTCTTCAGACTGACTGAATATTTTATCCTCCTTCTTTATGGAAACATGGTTTATCTGCATCACTAATCTATTCTCTTTTTTTCTGGCAACTGAGTCAGAGTTTAAAAGTTTAGAAGATACTCTGATTTCATTGGAATTCACATTGGTAAGTTGAGGATACTTGGAAATGGAGATGGAAATGTTTAAATGTCTTTCATCAATGCGTTCCTCTGTCAATCCAGTGGACATTCTATAGCAATTAGCCAATATCAGGTGAGCCGATGATATAAGCTCTCCTTGGCTGAGAAAGGAATCATGCTCTAGTTAAATTTATACATGGGAACATGTGTCTCCCAAGCACACACACAAAAAAAATGTACTCGGAAACTTCCTTATCTGCTCTCCACTCTGCATGCCATTGACATTAGATTATTTTCAAAAAGTGTTGTGCGTCCAGAGGTGCAAACCCTGTGCTGGAGGCAGGACCAGAAAAATGGGCCTTCTAGGTTGGACATATTCCAAAACACAATCTAGTAATCGTGCGTTTGGTCAGAAACCCCCTGGGCAGTCCTGTGAGCTGGGCACTCAACAACCCCCAGGGACACTGTACTTAACCTAGACATTGTAAAAGTGTGTATCAGGAAATGACGGTAAAGAGTTTTGTTCAAATAAAAACAGTATATTAGGACAATTTTTGACAGATGGGAATAAAGCATCATGAGGAGAAGTGGTCTTTTTTCTAACTAGTGCAAAGGTGTGTCAGCCACTGGCTGCTCTGTTTTTGGTTTGTCCCAACGTCATTCTTGCCTCTACCAGGAAATAGAAAGGAAGTGAATCACCTCAAGGGGTGCTCTCCTCTATCATTTAAGCACTTATCCTGTATAGTTGCCCCATAAACCACGCCTGGGACAGAGGTTAGCAGCCCTGGAGGATCTGAGGAGATGGGAGCAGAAGTGGGGAAAAGGGCACAGGATGGCTTTCCCTGTGTCACTTGCTCTTGGTGTTGACCCCCTTGGTTAGAGTTTGAAAGTCCATGGTTCCTTTGCCTGACCGCTCAGGGCTTCCTTTCTGCAAATTTGCTTTCTTTTAGTACCTCCAGCAGCAAACCAGGCAGTACCCTTCCATCAGATGGCACGGTGGTGGACTGTACACACCTCCAAGGACCCTTTTGCATTCAGTGTTTCAACCTGACATCTGAGCCCGGTGTTTGGCTGAACGCAGATACTAAGAAAACTGCATTTAAGCAACATGAATGAATTCATTTATTAGCCAAAGACATTTTTGGAATAATCAGTTGATTTCATTTATCCCTGGCTCAACTGGGATTAATATTATACAGCAAACAGTAAGGGAGCATTGGCTTACACAAAGCCAGCCACCTTCTCATCTCTCCTCTAATTTCTTTTCTCAAGAAATAAGGAGAGGTGGCATGTGCCAAAGAGAATTTCATTTTAGGGACTATCAGGTTAAGTGACTTAATTAGAAAGAAAAACAAAACAAAACTTCTCATTCAAAGCATTCAAACAATGAGTGGATAGTTATTTATATTCGTAAAGCACCATAACACTAAGAAATAAGTAGAAGTTGAAAGAGATCAAAGAAAGTTACCTCTGCTCTGGATAATCTGAACAGTTCCCAAAGTAGTCACTGAAATTACTCTCTTACCTTATAATTATTCATGATTTCAGCTAACCATGGGACAACAGACTGTCCTGTATCTTCTCGCATGTACTTTTCAGCCACGGATCCGTCATTTAAAGTCCGGTTTCCCACATGGATGGCTTCTCTCACTTCTGAGAGGGACAAAAACTTCCCAAAGTAACTATATTCCTCAGGTTCCTGGCAGAAAGAGGCATAGAAAGATATTAGGGAAGACGAAGAGCCCAAATTTGGTCAAAGCTTCAAATTTCTCGTAACATACACCATAATGAACAAGATGCGACGTGACTGTTCCCTTGCCTCCACCCCGAACATTTTAACTTGGCGGTTTTGTGTTCATTTAAACTTTACTAACAACAAATCTGAACGATCTGATACTCTTGGGCCAATATCCAATTTGCAAATGTTGGATTTTCCTTTTTGGAAATTAATCTTTTGCAATCTGTGACTCCAAATAACAACCCAATTTTAAGTAAATACAGAGAAAGTATAAGAGGTGAGATGATCAGAATCAGTTTGCTTCTCGCCCAAGGATCTGGGGAAAGAAGATCAAATGAGCACAAGGGCCCAGGACGACGGCGTGGTGTGTTACAAGATGATGATTCCTTTTCTTTGTTCTGTTTATCAAAACCACACACACAAAATAATCATCTGACCATAACTTCGGGGGAAAATAGAGGATGTAAAAACAGATGATACTTTATGAAGCACATAAGACAAAAGAAAAGTTGTCCATGAGCCTTATTTTTAAAACAATACTACATACAAGTCTCTGTAATATTCATTAAACTAAAACAAAAAGGATTAGATCTTGCTTTAAAAAGTTACAGAAGGATTAAAAAAACTGAGCAGGGTTTGAGATCAACTGCTTTGTGCTTCATCAATAATCTCTGCTAACTGTGAATTACTACTTTGAAAAAAATCAAATCCAAAATTTTGCGCCTCTTTTATACCATATATTTTTTTTCTCTTAGTTAAATCTAAAACCGCAAAGTTGGCGAACTCCATTGATATTAGCTTTATATTTTATTTACAAAATAGTTCACAAAGTAATTTTACAAACAGAAAGTATTGTCCTATACACTAGACAAAGATTACCCAACCCAAATTCCCACTTTGGCTCCCTTTGCCTTATTTGATTAATTCTACACAAAGACATCCACTTTGGCCTACTTTTATGAAAGAAGCTACTTGAATACTTTGAGAAATGCTCCAGAGGGCTCAAAGTGAGGCCCATACTAAATGCAAGAAACGTCTAAAGTTATAAGTAAGCCAAAGCAAGTATTTTTGTAAAAGCTTTGGCAGTTTTGATTATCTAAGCTATCTTAACAACAGAGCAAATAATGTGGGCGTTTTCAAGAAATTCACCACAGGCGTGAAAGCCCAGGACCCTGATGCTCAGGACAGCAGCCCCAGCCGCTGTCCTTCGCAAAGGAATTCTGTATAACAAGCTCTTTTAGGGGGAAATTGTGTTAATCAGAGACTGTTTTGAGTTATGTGGAATGTCACACATTCTCAATGGTCAGACGGAGAAAGAAATCCTGTGGATTAGACCAAATAATGCAATACAGTTGGGGGATTGCCTAGTATAAAGTCAACTATAACATTTCCCAAATGGAAGTTTGGTTTTGCCGAAAGTTTCAAGCAAACGCTATCAGGGTTTTTTAAATGTCATTACCGTGCACTGTACAATGGTGTAGAAATTAGGACATCCTGTGACATTCTCCAAGTAGGAATGGTCACCATCCAGTAGTTTATCAATGACCTAGGTCGGGAGAGAGGGGAGAAAGAAAGAAAGAAAACATCCGGGTGGGTAAAAATACACAGGCATTTGTCATTTCATTTCTTCAGTAACTTTTTCACTTTTGCACTGTTTCACTCAACAACCACTTATTGCACACGCCCTCTGTGCTAGACACTGTCCTAGACATCGGGGAAACAGTAGTGACCAAAGACAGACCAAAAGCCCTCCTTTGTGGAGCATATATTCTAGAAGGGGACAACACACTAGCATTAATAGGTAAAATAAGTAGTGTGTTAAGGAGTGATAAGTGCTGAGGAGAAAACTAAAAAGGAGGAGGGAAGGAGAAAGCACCATGGGAGCACGTGGGCATGTGCACATGCATACGCTGAGTGGATACTTAGAAGGTGGCATTGGAGTAAAGACCTGTTGGAGGGGAGAAAGCAAGCCATGCAGACATCTAGGGCAAGCACATTCTAGGCAGGGAAACAGCAAGCGCAACGCCTTGACTGTGAGAGCGAGCCTGGTGGGGGAGGGTTCCGTGACACGGATCGTTGACCACTCAGCTGCAGTATGAGGAGAGAGGACGGAGGATATGCATATGCATGCATGTGTGTGGAGCTGGTGGAAATTATCTTTGGACTTCCAGCTTTAAGTGCCAGGTCATCAGCAAAGGGTCGAGAGCAGTCCGCTTGGCTCTCAGCTGCTCTCTCGTCACGTTCAGCCGCACAGCAGCACAGCAGCCGGCGCGGACTGGTGGAGAGGTGCCTTCAGCCAAAGGAGCTAGAGGAGGTGCCAAAGGCTGGGAATGCGTATAACGACTGACCTTGGCTTTAAGTTGGGTAATCAGAGAAATTAAGACTTGGGGGGGTGTTCGGGATCATGAAGGGGTAGTAGGATCGATGAATGAAAATATAAAATGGCTGCAGGACTGTTGTTTGGGTTGGTATATTCACAGAAGTGAGCTGGGAGGATGGGAGGGGGCAGCCGGAAGAAGATATTTGAATCTGAGATTATGGAGCAATTGTTGGCTTTTGGCGGGAGTGGGTGATGGGAATGAGCAGCTAAGGTGAAGGAGGGATGAGATCCCCTGGAAGGGAGGAGATTAAAGGGACTGAGGGACCAAGTATTCCCAGAATCGTCAATGTGGATACTGCAGTCCCCAGGAATGATGACAAGAGGGATGCTGGAGAGAGTGAGGTGAGGGAGGGGATCAGATGTTCAAAGAACGAGGAGGAGGAGGCCAGGGGTTGGTAGATAACTGTACGATGAAGTGGGGGGGGTGGGCATTGAGGACGTGAGAGCTAAAGCTCGCTGCTTTAGGGGACAGGACATGAACTGGAGGCAGCAGTGAGGAGTCAGGAGATGCTGCCGCTACCTGTGAGCCAAGTGGTACAGCGTAGGGAAGAGAGAAAAGAGCCCCCATTTGAGAGGGCTGCAGAGGAAGCAGCCGCATCGGGGAGAAGCAGGTTTGGGGGTAGAGGGAGAAGAGAAAAGGAAAAGTCACAGAAGAGAACGAGGACATTCGGAGATTTTTTGGATGAGGACACTGAGTTATAAGGGGTTCTCGGGAAAGGATTTTAAGAAATGAGTGCTTAAACATTTTCAGAAGCATCAAGCAAGTATGAATGTAGGCTTCTTACAATGTGAGATATTAGTACCCTAACTTTACAGGTGAGGAAAGTGAGGCACATAGAGGTCAGGTCACTTGCCAAGGACACCTCACGAACGACGTCAGAGGTGAGGATCAAACCCCGACCCGACCCCCAGGCTGTGTGCCTAACTACGCACACACTCCAGCTCCCCAACGGGCAGACTGTGGGGGCTCCCACTCTGTAATTCTTTCTGGCCATGCTTTTGGGTTTAATTTAAAATTTCATCGTATTATTCGATTATTATGTTTTTTACACATGAAGCAACTTAAATGTATCCAAGTTACTACTGCCAGAGGTTCAAGGGCCAAGCATTATATTAAAAGGATGGTCACTGTGGGAAGCAGGGGGTGGGGTGGTCGTAAGGACGCCTTGGCAATGCTGCGGTAGCTCAGGGCCAGCGCATCCCGCTGTGCGGGCTGTGCAGGATTTCCCTCTGTGGAGAAATGGCCACCCTCCATCCTCGCACAACAGTGGCACCTGCCTGCCAAACTCTGAACCCACAGGACTGTGTCAGTCCAGAGCTGTCTTTTTCTAATGTGGCCACCCAGAGGGGGCAGTGGTCCTGAATGCTTGCAGCATTTTTGGAATTCATCTTTAGAAATTATCCTCGACACCAACGGGAACATAAATTTGGACTTCGAGCACGGATTTGATTTCGAAAAGGAGTCAAAAATCATTTGCTGTCAAAAAAATAAAGTGGGTGGTCAAGACCTGTGAAATCCAGTTTCAATTCAAAACTCTGTGGTCCAGAACCCTGTCAGGGCAAGAAAGATAACACAGGTCCAGAGGTGAGTCTGTGCGCATCTTGCAGAATCTTTAAGATGTCTTGGAATTTTTACAGAAAGCCTGAAAATTACCACAGGAGAAACACTGGGGTGGGAATTGGGGAAGGGGGCCAATTCTAGCCCCAGACCTCCCACAACCTGTTGTGTGGCTTTTGGCAATTGTTTGCACCCCTTTGGATGTGTGTCGGGAGAGAAGATGACCTCCAAGGGATCAGAGCATCGAACTGTCTTCTTATTTAGGTTTGAGATGTTGACATCAGTTTTCTCCTGGGTTTTCAGGATTTCCTGCAGATTCTGTTGCAGACATTGAAACACATATGACCAGTACTTGCTGACTTCCCTAAGTATCATTTTATCTATTTCCTTTGAAAGAGCAAAGGTGTTTATGTTTTAATTCATCACTCAAGGTATTGGGCCGGTGGTCAGAGAGACTTTGCATACCTTCAAGCGTTTGGGGTTTTGTTTGTTTGTTTGTTTGTTTTCTGATGAGTTCAGTTTGAGAGAGACCCTGATGAACCTCATAGGTTACCTTCTCATGATCTCTGAATATACAAAACACTTGAACTTACCAACAGTGTCACTCAATTCTATGGCTGCTGCATCACGTACAATGACCATTGTTCTGCTTTCTTTATCCCTTTGGGTCTTATGAACTATTCTTGCCTTGACACTGCTTAATCCCTGAATGCTTTGTCAAAGCCCATCAAATGTCTCCCTTGCAGATTGGTCTCACGTGACTAAATTTTGATAGGAATTCTAAATGCTAATGAGTTAGTCCTTTTTACCTCATCTGTCTACCATAGGCAGACAGCTTAAAACTAGCCTTGCAAATACTGTCACTGTGAGTTGAAGAATGATCTCACACAGCCCGGGTAAGACCCTCCGTCCTTCACATTTGCAATTGCGCAATCGCACACGAAATGCCGAATTCCACACTCTGCATCCACAGCGGGTGCCCTGACACCGAGAAAGGGGAGCCGCAGGAGCCCCGCAGATGGAGGGCTCCGGACGTCCTGAGTTCACCCCATTGCACAGCTGGCTGCTCTCAAAATTCCTAGCATGAGCAGTCACTGTCACTGCGTTGGGGGGTTTCAGGTAGTGCCCCGGCACCTACTTGTAAATTGGAGCATAACTTCATGTTACCCCTCTTATCTCTAAGTTTGTATGTCTCCTGTTTTGATCTGAACCAGCTGACCTGCAGTGCCTGGAAGACTATTAATATCAGGCCTCAGTCCTAACAGCAACTTGGGGTAAACTATTACAGGAAGTGTTTCCAATAACAAAGAGATTAAAATCATCAAAATTCAATTTTTACCTCATTTGCTAATGTGTCATACATGATGGCTCTGTCATAAAGGTGGCAAACTCCCCCACCCAGAAAGGCTGCTTACACATCGCCTTTGCCTGTACTGGCAAACAAGCAAACAAACAAAAAACCCCAACCTCCTATATCCTCATGTTTAGTATAGTCTTATGTTTTAAACAAAATAAAAAAGGGTGAAGAAGACAATCATATTATTTGATTCTCAATTTCACTATTAGGGGAGCAATGTGCCAATATTTACAAATACCAATGGCTCTTTGCAAAAGTTTCAAATTACTACACTTCCTAATCTTTGTTTCTGACACACAGGAAACATGTGACATTTGTTACACACTCAGTCACTTCTCCAGCTGAAGCCCTGTGTGGGGGCGTCGCCCTCCTGGAGGGTTTAGAGCAGAGGCTGAAGCACGTGCATCCACTTTCTTGCTGCCTTTCTCCTGATTTCCTGACAATAGGCTGTGCCTTTAGGGCCTACAGAGTGCTTAAAGAAATCAAAACGGTTCATGGAAGGCACAGTTAGATGAGCACCCCCAGGTGATTTCAGGCTTAAAATATAGCCAAAGGAAGTTCAAAGGAACCCAGACAGTTCTCTCCTTCATGATGAGCCTCCTCAGCTCCTCCCTGATCTTGGCTGGCACAGCAGACACACCTTCCCTAACAACAACAAACAGCCGGCTGTGGTGCTTCTGGGAACCTCTTCAGATGGTTCTCATTGCTCCAGGGCCACCCGCCCCAGAACTCACTTCAAAGGCTTGGAGCCACTCCTCCTCCTTGATGTGTTTCACACACTCAGCACACTGCTTCTGGAAGTACTTTCTCTGCTTCTCATCCAACAAGCCAACTTGGTACAGGAAGGTTGCATAGCCCCCTATGATCTGAGGAGAGGAGAGACAAACACAGATGCCACAGGGCGAGGAAGAGGTTAGGGAGGCCCATTTGCCTGGGGAAATAAGTCTTTGTGATTTGTCACCTCGTGCTAGAATTAGCCAGGCATTACAATTACACACACATCCACCCACCACATACCACACCATACACAGTATTAATACAAACACAACACATACCAACGCAAAGTGCAAACACACATACCGCACAACTGACACACACAAACATAACCACACAACACACAAATATGTAACACACACCACACATACCACCATCATACACACACTGTACAAACACTCTCCAACACTCACCATAGACACGCATATACACACGCAACCCTAGGCCGTGTCCTCACAGTTAACCGAGGCTGACATAGAAAGTTGACATCTTAAAACGGTTGGTAAAAATTAGAAGATTGAAATTATTAGACATCAACTGGGCAAACAGTATTTCTTTTAATCAGGATCAATCTCTAATATAAGGGGAGCCTCCATCTAATTAAAAGGCGTTTATTCTCCTTAAGGAACAAAATAGAAAGGAAAAGGAGACACCTACTGATTCAGGATCGGAAAACCCACTTCCAATAGCAATTCCTTTCAGGTTGATTGGCACTGTTAGCTTGGGGTTGAGTACGTGGATATAATATGCAATGGTCGGCACGTATTTGCCTGCATAAGACTGAGAATAAGGGTAGATGTTAAAATGAACCATCACAAATGTGCACTAGTAAAATGACATGCGTACACTCATTAACAATCAAACAGCAGTATCTCCACAAGACATATTATATATCTCTTAACCTCACATTATAAATTCCACAATAGCAAAGAGGTCTTGCTCCATTTGTCATCCCAAATAGCACCGAGTGACATGCAGGTCACAGGTTAGGTGCACAAAAAATAATGAGTGAACCTGTAATAAGTGAGCCTTCTAATTTCCTTCCAAAATTAAAAAAAGAAGCGAAACAAAACATGGACCAATGAACACAATTTTGCCACTGATAGGGCTTTTCTTACCAGAAGGTGTCATTAAAAGCTTTATTTGTTTAAAAAAAATCTCAAGGCCAAAATTAAGATTTCAAAATCTGTATAATGATGTACATTGTAACCTTAACGTGTACTAAAGGAAGAGGAAAAGGAAAATACTATTTATTAGCCACTAAAATTGTCACTTGAATGTACCTACGTTTCCACTCTTTCCTAGTACAAAGTTCTATGGGTTTCTTTTTTTCAGTTTCAAAATATTTTGTGGACACAAACATGATAATGCTGCTTTTAGATTATGCTTAAAAAGCTACTATGAGTTCAGTAATATTTAAAAACCACTTTATATTTCTTCCATTAAAATCTTGCCCTTTTGACATGTCCACTTGCACGTTTAATATTAAACTCCATGTGTTCGAAATGAAGCTCCGCTCCCCCAGGCCTCCTCGCAGCTTCGCTTCCCATTCCTGTTAACTCGGTCCTCCTCACTGCTTAGGCCCAGAATCTCGGCACCAAACTTCATCTCTCAGATCCCTCAGAAAAGTCCACCCATGATTCCGTTCTGACAACCGTGTCCAAAATGCCCTGTCTTCTCACACCCCCACTTCCTCACTCTGCCCCAAGTGGGTCATCTCTCACCTGGACTATCGCAGTGGCCTCCTAACTGGCCGCCTGCTTCCACCCTGGCGCATGGCCAGTCTACAGTCAAGCCAGTGGCCTGTGAAACCGATCAAACCACGCCGCTCCTGTGCTCAAACCCTCCAAGGCCTGCCCGTCTCCCTCTGAGGAAAAGCAAAGTGCCTTCTCTGGGACAAAGGGCTGGAGGGATCGGGTCCCTTCACTTGTTGTCACCCCTACCAGCCTCTTGCTCATTCCTTTCCGGCCCCTCTGTGACCACAGTCACTACGACTGTGATCCTACCGTTCCTTCCCCCACGGCCTCTGCATCAGCTGTCCCTGCCACCTGGAACGCTCCCCCCAGATTGCCTTACGGAGAGCTCCCTCGCTTCCTTAAATGAGGCCTTCTGAGAGATGTCTTCCCTGGCCTCGCTATCTAAACTTTTCACATCTCTTTTTTTTCTTTTACATTTTCTAGTCCGCTTTTCTCCTTTTACGTCTTCATCCTCATCACTCGCCAACTAAGTCTTACTTATTTATCTTGAATTGTTATTCCCCCACCCGGACCGGAAGATGCATGAACACAGGGATATCGGTTTGCTTTATTTATTACTGCAGCCCCTCGGCCTGATGTTGTTTATTTGTTGGTGCTCAGTAAACAGTTGTTGAATGAATCTGGAGTTAGCCTACGTGTATTTGAAAAACAGCAATGCCTATATGTTCAAAATAGACTAGAGGCATTATGTGGATACATCCGAGTCTGCAGACCCTTCCCAATATTTCCAAGGCTCCCCATGGGTCTGTAGTTCAAAGACTGGGAACCCCTGAGAGCTCTCATTTATTTCAGACCATAATCATATGCTGGAGATATTATTCCCGTTTCAATACATGGACACTGGGGCTCAGAGATATCAGAATTAAATCTGGTCTGATCTGCTCCAAAACCTAAACTCCTTCTAAGTTATGATTAAAAAATGTAATTTTTATAACTTACACAAAATCTCCTCACTGATGCAGCCCCCTAGTGCAATAATATTATTAGGCAAAGTGCTAAATCAAAGCAATTTATTCATTCATGCTCATGAGCACAGCTTAGCTTCCTTGTGATAATATAAAGATGTGTTTACATGCCTGAAATTTCATTTGCTGCATAGCTGTGCTATATATTCTCTTTTTAAGCATATTAAGCAAACATTTATCATATAAACGTTCTGTAGGATGGTCCCCAAAAAGCAAATTTTCTGGAGTAATCATTTCACTGACAAAGATGTATTATATACTTTCCATTAGATGATAGTTAATTGGGCAACTCTTCTGCCAAAGACATTATAGTAAATACTTGAGGAGACACAAAAATGAATAAAGCTCAAAACTTGTAAAGTTCGCCATTTCTTTTGGAAATATATTATGTAAAACTCAAATGAGATAAGGCAAAGCTTACCATTTCATAGATAATTATGTCCATAATGTGCACGTTGTCCAGCACATAAAACATACTTGATAAGTGAATGTCTTATCTCACATTACTTCTAAGTATTTTTCTCTATTGGAAATTAGTACAAATATTAAAAAGTATTTCTGTCAATGATACCATCACTCTGGTTGTCTTGCTATAAAACCTGGCAATAAAACACCTCTCTTTACTCTTTCTGAGATGGAAAGCGATGTGCTTTCAATTGCTGTATAGGTAGTGATGACAAACTTAGACTAAAACAGCCACACTTTTATAACACCTTCCCCCTTGTGACCATCACGTGCATCTGGGATATATCCAGACAGGAAATTAAGAAGAAACACCTGCTCAGTTTCTGAGCATCTACTTTGAACCAGGCTTTTTCGCCTACTTTAGTTTGAGCCCATTAAGGTTCACCTCCTCCTCTTGTAGTATTTCAAAATGGCAGCAGCAAGGACCCGTGCCTTTCACTCCCGGGCCTGGCTGGGATTCTCTCCAGACCCGGCTGCCTCCACACTCCCATCGCTCACATCAAATCGCATTTCAGTCAGTAGTGCCGGAACAGGTCACAGGTCTCCGGTCCCCCAAGCTGGAACTCGGCCTTGGGTTTACCGATGAGACGCTTGTTACGCTGCCCATTTATGGAAAACAAGACCCTAAGATGGGCAGTTCAATGACAACATCCAAGGCGGATTCCTCAATGTTCAGTCACCTTGGCTAAACCAACAGTGAAAATGTGGACCTCATTTTTTGCTTTCTAATGACGATCACGCACTTTCTTGCCTGTGTCAGTGTGACAAATCCTTCACTGCCATTTCCATTAATCATTCCATTGGTTGAGTGACTCAGACCATCACCCAGTAGACAATTACAGGATTATTTAATGGAAAACAGACACCAAAACAGTATAGTGAAATCACAATTATTTTCACTCTCCTTCTGACACATCATTCTTTTTGCGAGATCAGACTTGTTTATTCTTCTTCAGCTGTTTATTTCTCAATGTAATGATCCTCTGACCACCACAAGCACTTTAAAAGACAACCAGACAATAAATCGTACTGTATTTGCTCAGTTTTCCCTTTTCTGTATATGTTTTAAACAGAATAGAATTCCTTATTTGGGGGAAAGAGTTTAGGTATGGGTGCCTGATGGATCAGCAATGGACAAAATAGCCCCTGAGGACTTGTAAGTGTGACCCTGTGATTTTATGAACCCTTGCTTCTTTTGTTCTGAGTTCTGCCCGTAACGAGGAAGGACAAAGGCAACAACCGTCACAACCAAATGCCTTGCGGTTTCTCTGATCTCTCGCTGGTGTTCACCAATGTGGGCAGCAGCTGGCCCACGAAGCTCCCGAAGTCTGTGAATTAACACTAACCTTCTACCGTTCGATCAGAACTCGGCCTCATAAAAGCTCAGAAGAGCATCAAAGCGATTATAAAAGGAAAGAAGAAAAGCGTGGCCAGAAAGTATCTGAGCACATATTAGTTTAGAACCCAGCCGTGACCTTCAAATGAGGAACTCAGCCATATAAACATATTTATCTAACACAATCACTCAAACTAGGTCAGCTGTCAACACATCAGGATTTTAGTCCGCTCTTGTTATTCCTTTCTAGTATTTAAAGAAGCTTCAAGATGCGATGTCTACCCCAGTTCTTGCAAGGTTCACGTTTTGGGCTCACCTCCGACAAGGACCAGAGATATTGGGGTATATTTGTATCTGCATGCATGTGCTGAAACTTAAGGAAGCAATAAACCTCCAGTTTTCCTTTTTACAGCAGAAGGATCTCAGAATTCAGCTCTCAGTCTTTTATTTCCCCCATGAGAGAACAAGGTCTCAACATCACAGTGGAAGAGTGGTTTTGAATCTCGGTCTGCAATCTCTCTGAGTTCTTAAATGATGTTTGGAACAGCCTAATGGAAATCACATTAAGAGCATATTGTACTTGTAAAAATAGTCTAGAGAGAATGTAATGCTTGGTTAATTATCCAGATGTGTAAAAGCACAATGAAATTGGACTTAAAAAAACTTGTAACTGTGTATTCTGTCTGAATCTCTCCCTTCTTACATGTTTTAACAATATTCATAGCAGACTTACTGTACCCCTGTACCGGGTGACTTTTAAGGGAGGAAAAAAATATTTCATATCTAAAATCAAGCTTCAATCAGCTCCTACAGAAAAAAAAAAAACTGTGTCAGAATAATACTATAATGGAAACAATGTCCTCTCACAGAAATTTCACATATGTTAGCAGTTAGTATTGTTTAAGCTTCTCTCAGTGGCCTACATTTCTTACTCAAGTTTAGTTTTGAAAAAAATGCAGTTATACATCTTCATGCTCTGCCTTTTTCCTAAGGATGCATTTTATGGTAAAGCATGCAGACGCTTTACGAGTGATAATGAGCAATGGCCTTTGAAATGAGACACACTTAAACTCAGACACGAAGTGTCACTCTCCACAGGCCCTAATTCCTAACTATGCTCGGCAAGTGGAAAAGGGGGAGTCATTAACCTCGGCCATGGTATGCTGACGAAGGTCAGGGTCTTTCTACACCCTCCTGCCTCCCCTACCCCCACCCCACCCCCAGCGACCCCCGGTGGAATAGATGTCTTTTGGAAGA